ATATATTTACTTCACACGTGTTGCCATGTATAAGCAGTGACTCCTGTTCTTTCTGATGGGTGCTTCCTTCCTGGAGATGGCAGGATTAACGTTGATGCTGGGCTTGCCTGCTATTCACAGGGATGGGATCATGGTATGGTGGGGAAGAGTTGGGAAGATTCAGATTTAAACCTCAAAGTGATGTGACTTTTTTGAGCTAGTTGCTGAACCTCTGGGAGGTTCCGTTTTCTCTATGTGTGAAATAGGATTGACAGTTCCTTTTATGGGGGTTTTTGTAAAGAGTGGAAATTCTGTGTATTAAGTACCTGAACATAGAAGGTACTCAATAGCTTGTAACCATTAACAGTCTTTTGACAACCTTTCTGCTTTAGAATGCTTTAGGAAGCAATTTTAGGATGAATTTTAGGAGAAAAAGGAAGTTCTCCTAATTTGCAACAGAGCCACTTTGGCATACCCAGTGAATGGTGGAATAGTAATAATTGGAAACATTTGTGAGTGCTGGCCACTTTATAATGAAAAACAAACTGTTTTTGCCAAACTATTGTGTCTTCTAGTAGAGCAGTTTATTTTAGGTAACATTTTATTAGTTCTAAGTCTTGTTTAAAAAAAGATTGCTTCTAAAGATGCAGACGTAGAGAATGGACTTGAGGACACGGGGAGGGGGAAGGGTAAGCTGGGACCAGTGAGAAAGTGGCATTGACGTACATACACTATCAAATGTAAAATAGATAGCTAGTGGGAAGCAGCCGCATAGCACAGGGAGATCAGATCGGTGCTTTGTGACCACCTAGAGGGGTGGGATAGGGAGGGTGGGAGGGAGACGCAAGAGAGAGGGGATATGGGGATATATGTATAGGTACAGCTGATTTACTTTGTTATAAAGCAGAAACTAACATACCATTGTGAAGCAATTATACTCCAAATAAGATGTTAAAAAAAAAAAGATTGCTTCTATTTCTGGCAATATGGAGGATTAGAAATGCTTACTGATACAGTTCAACTAAACATGCTAGATGATATAGCACACATATGCATATGCACTGTTTTGTATTATATATTAAAATATACATAAATCTTAAAATACATATAAATCTTTAAAATAAGTAGCTGAGCTGGTGGGAGAGTAAAGGAATTTTTATGAGGCTGGGGTCAGTTAATGCTGTGGATTTGATGTGTGCCCTGAAAGTACCTGCCAATTCCTGGTAGCCTAGAGCCTGAGTTTTGATAGTCTCTGAACATGGGGCACAGGAGATAAAGGCTGAGGCCAGAGCAGTGTAAAAAGACAAATGGAAGGCCTGTGGATAATATAAGGACTCTCAAAGGGCAACATCCTCCCAGGAGGTACCATCAAAAAGAATTCTTAATCATAATATCATACTTGTACTCTTCTGAGGCCAGAATTCATACTATCTCTGTGGCTTAAAGAAAAAAAAAAGGAGAAGTTTGAAGTGGATTGATAGTGAATCCAGCAGAAGAGAACACATATTTCTGGAAGAATTCTCTTTAAAGCAAGGACTCTTAAGCTTCCCTGCAGGCAGAGTCCCAAGAATATGAGCTCATACTCTAATATAAATGAACATATAATCTATTCTAAGTGAGAGTCAGCAGATAAACTACATAAACTCTCAAAGATTGCAGATATTAGAATTACCCTATGGAATATAAAATCAACATATTTGCTATATAGAAGTAAATTAAGAAGAGACTGAGAATATGATGTAGGATCAAGAGAATCAAAATTCACTAGACAGATTTGCAAAAGATCCAAAGATATCTTTTATAAATGATACATACATAGTAATTTAAATTAAAAAAAACAGATTGATTAAACAGATTAGACACAGTGAAAGGGAGGGAGGATAGACCTGAGGAGACTAAGATTAAAAATATAAAATAAAGGTTAAGAGATGTGGAGGGATAAAATGAAATGTCTAACATGTTGAATCAGAATCTCAGAAAAATGATAATAGGATGGAGGATACATAATTCAAAGATAAAATTACTGAGATCTATCTATCCAAAACTGGTGAAGTATCCAAATCCTCCGACATAGGAAGCCAATGAATACTAAATCAGATAAGTAAAAGGAAATTCATACTTAGAGACATGATAACAAAACTGCAGAATATTGAAGACTTTGGGGGTGGAGGAAGTAATTACAGAGAAAAGACATATAACTCAGAAAGGCATGGCAGACATATGGCTCACATTTTAACAAGATAGTATCCTCAAAGTGATGAGAAAAAAATCATCAACCTAGAATTCAAGGTATCATCATTCAAGAATTAATGCAAAATAAAGACATTTTCAACAAAAAGAATAACTAAAGGTGTAACCGTTCTGTGTATTTTACTGTTTTGTGAGTTGGGAAGAGAAAAGGAAGAAAAGTCAGGTGGTAGGGGAAGAGCAGTGAGGTGACTAGGAGGTTATTTGTGATTTAACCTCCCCGTGAGCCCCAGAATACTTAGTAAATTCCATTAAAAAATTAAACACTTTGTGTCAGTTGATTGCTTCTGATGACTGATAAAAGCTGGATTTGGTTGTCTTTGTAGTTTGTAAGGCTGAATGCTGATGTCGATGTTATGGTGAATTGAGGAGTAGGAACTCAGATCCTGGGGGTGGGTGGATGGCTGTGAACACTCTTCAGGCTATGATTTTGGGGTTCAGACCAGGTTTAGTGAGTTCTCCCAGGAGAAAGGGATGCCCTGGCTAACAAATGTTAAGAAAAAAAGTCATCTTAAGTTTGCTATTTGGAATAGAATCCCATTCACAGCAAGTTACATAGTCAAGACCAGTCTACTTGCTCATTGTTTACTAGACTATGCCCCAGAGTTAGTGCAAACAGCTGCATTTCTGAATATATTTTTATCTCTGTAAATTTTCTTTTTGAATAGTCTTTCATAAGCTTTGATGGAAAGCTAGCTTAAATTGTTACTGTATGTATCTACTTTCATCAGAGTGGCTATAGTGAAGTGAGATGGTAGTTTAGGATTGGTTAAAATCTTAAGAACAGAGCAGGGTTCTTAGACCAGGGCCAAAATCTTAAACTTTTCAGTTGAGGTCACTGTGATGAAAACAATCTGCATTTTGACTACTCTTTGGATGTTATTAAAGTATCCATACAATTGTTTGTTCATTTGTGAATTATGGACATAATAAAATGCCCATAAAAGCTGTATCTCCTAGAGACTTCAATAGAGATTTGTATGGAATATGAAAGTAATGTGAATTCATGTTTTCAGTGTTTTATTGTTTTCTTTTGAATGGAAATAAAAGCCAACGTTACCATGATGTGTTTGATAACTTACTGTGGGTGAAGACTTAGAGACAGTCTCTAAGCTCTCCCTTTATGTTTTTAATCCCTGTCTGTCGAAGCCAGAGCCAGACTTCTTTGGCTGATCTTAAACTGGATAAAATATCTGTTTACATATTCAGAATACACAACTAAAACCATTTTGTTTTCAACTAATGAAATCACCCTGTGAATGAATCAGAGGTGTTCGAAGCTATTACATGAGTTTGGTTTTTATGATTTTTGTGGCACAATCTACAGTGAATACTCTGAACATGGAGTTTCAGTGAAACTTCTAACTTGCTTGGCTTTGAGAACATTTCTGTGATCATGGTCATGTTGGCTTGATGGGACTTGACAATCCTTGAAATTGGCTTTTATTAACTTTAGGCTCTTCAATATAACTTACTGAAACTAGACATAAAATGTACAGAACTCTGCTCAAATTATCTCATTTAAAACAAGGATTTGTATTGATCTTTCAATAGCCAAGTAGTTGGGAAGGCTAAAAGTGATTTATTTTTCTTGTTTTACATAGATTAAACCCAGGATAATTATCAAGTTTCATTACGTAAATCCTGTTTGGCACAGGAAGTTGGAATATTCTCTTTCTTAGGAATGTATCTGATTATAAAAAAATACTATCATAATTCTTGGTAGAGTCAGCATCAGTATCTGTGTAGGAAGTCTCCACTCTCCTACTTACTCTCAGTTGCCAAACGTACACACATGACTTTCTGATACGTGTTTTAAGAGTCTTCTCTCTGAATCAGGGGAACCAAATTCCTTTTGAACCAAGCAGGGTGTAATAAGTAAGATACTTAAGAACCTGGTTCCTCTTGGTTTTGTTCTTAAGTGCAATAGAATTAAGTTTCATAAGCATGCTGTCATTTTTAGGTAGAAAGATGATACCTAGATGTTTATAGACTATAATACTGAAAGAGCTGGCTCATCAGGTACAGGACTATCCGTGCACAGTGTGAAAATAAATGTCAAACAAAAGCACTTAATCTGGTGGGAAATCTAAGGTAAGATGCTAAAATAACACTTTAAAATTTTTGAATTTATTTCTTAAAAAGTAGTCAACTTGTGAGTGTTCCAAAGGAGGTATTCATTACTGCTGTTCAGGGACAAACCCTTCAAGTGGAAAATAAAGCTTAAATCATGGTCACAGAAGTTTTTATGTAATAAAGTCAGGCCATTTATGCCAGTTATGGCTTGTCATGTATTACTTCAGAAATGCTTGGCAAGTTTGTTCTCAGTGACTCATTACCCATCCTAAAAGTATCAATAAAATGATGCTGAGTAGAAATTGGACCTCAGACCCTCCTAGGACTCTTTAACTGCCTCCTGCCCCACCCTTCTGATTTCTGAAGGTAAGGGGAGGGAGCTGTGTGCACTGGGGAGGTAAGGAGATTTATGAAATAAAAAATATTCTTTGGGCTTCCCTGGTGGCGCAGTGGTTGAGAGTCCGCCTGCTGATGCAGGGGACACGGGTTCGTGCCCCGGTCCGGGAAGATCCCACATGCTGCGGAGCGGCTGGGCCTGTGAGCCATGGCCCCTGAGCCTGTGTGTCCGGAGCTTGTGCTCTGCAACGGGAGAGGCCACAACAGTGAGAGGCTCGCATACCGCAAAAAAAAAAATAAATAAAAAAAAAATTCTTGGTTTCTAGGAGAGAAAATTAATGTTTCTTTTCTTTCTCTTCTAGATTGTCCTTTTACTCGGGCCACTCTTCATTCTCCATGTACTGCATGTTGTTCGTGGCAGTAAGTACTTTGTGTCTGTTGATGGTGGCATACGTGCTGCCTGCACTTTGTGTTCAGCTTTGGTGTCCTGTCCTGTGAGACCCCTCTGACATTCTCATCGGCTTCACTTCTCAGTCAGCTGTAAGCCATTGCTGGCTGCACTAAGTTCAGAGGAGAAATGGATGCCTATGCTCCTGCCAAAGCCAGTTACAATTGTTTGAAACAGCTTTTGTCCTTCATTTAGAGGAAGCAGACAGGCGCGTTGTATAGCAAGCTGCAAATTGGGAACCTTCAGGATAATAGGGAGTCTTTACTCCTGAAGCAGACAAGTGGTGGAGGACACTTGTCACTTTTCTGACAATGGTAGAGGCCTAAACAGATAACCATCAAGTCTGCAAGCCTGGTGCTAAGAATTAGGTGATGTGTCCCCTTACTTTGGGACATATTTTCTGAAGAGGTTTTCTGGAACATACAAACAGCTTCTGCATAATTTCAGCAGGTCACTGCTCTGAATACAGGCCAAGGTGACTGCTGCCCCTCACGACCTCACCCTGACGAGAGCCCTGGCGTCATCTGCACGGCATGGTGCTGAGCCGCCCGGCCTTCCCTGAAGGCTGCTGGGGTGAGGAGTTTGGTTTATTGCACGTGAAGGCAGCTGTTGTTGCTCCTATTTGAGCAGGTTATATTTTCCTTCCACTTTGTGAAACATTTCCCAGACTTCTTTCCATGGTACTAGAAAGGTTCTAACTTCAGGGAGAGCCAGTTGCTGCTTCAGGAGCTTGTCATCTATACAGTCTCCCCATGGCGATTCTAATTGCACTTGCATTATACAAAGTCAACAGTGAAGAGTTAGAGAAGACTGGCACCCATATTTTGCATATCAAACTAGAGATGAATGTGCAGTGAGAGTAATTAGTGGAAGACCAGGCTTTAGGGCACACACGAGGGGTCTTTAAACGTCAATTTAATTGACTTTTATTTTTTATAATGTCTTCTGTGTCTGTGTGTCTCTCTGTTTGTATAAAATTATCAAAATTTGGTGGGAAAAGAAGGGAGAGGAGAAGATCTCTACCTTAACAGATCAGCTTTAATTTTTGTCTTGATTTTCTTTGTAAGTGGATTTTTTATATAGTTGTGCTGTGTAAATTTGCTGTTTCCCATTCCCCTTCCCCCTCTGGTCACATTAAGTGCTATATGATATTAAATTCATGAAATGGATTAAAGATTCACGATGTGTATTGTTGAGAGTAGCCTGCTGGGAGTTATTTGGTTTCATTTAGAGAGAACTTAACATCAGTTTTACCAAATCTTCCTTTTATTTGAAAAAAAAAAAATTCCAAAAAATGAAAGAATGTAAAATTTATAAAATGTAAGAATTGCAGATGTGTTATATAAAATGCAAACCCAAACTTCAAAACCTTTTCAATAGAGCTAATTTTTGGCTTCTTCAACATTTCTGCAAATTGCAAGGCTTTCATCTTATGTTAATTTTGTGAGGAAGCAACAGGGTACCAATTCAGCAGAATTTAGAGTTTCCTTTTTAAAATATTCACCCAAATGTTTCTGAAAATGTGCCATGGGAAATGTGACTTATTTGACGGTAGTAACAGCAAGTACTGTTCTAGCAATCTCTGTTCATTTATCTTTCTAGGAAAAATTACCATGTTTTCTAAAGGGAGCCACCATACTTTTTTCTCTTTAAACAGGACATGGGGAGTGGGGGAGAAGGGGAAAGCTGGCAATGGCTAGAGCTATTAATATATCCTGAGAACTTTTCCCAAAGCAAAGTTTGTGACTATACTGAATGGCTTTTGAATGTTTGTAGGCCCCAGAGCCAGACATCACCAGGGGTACTTTTCTGGTTTGTTATTCCCTCACCTGTGTGTCAGTATCTTTAAGTCCCTCTTTATGAGAGAGAACTAAGAATCTGAGGTTTGGTTGATATTGATGATGATTTGCATTTACACTACTCTTTAAGTTTTGACTCCTTCTGAAAGCTCCCATGAAGTAGGAGAGGAGGGATGATTGCCACCCTTTCACAGATGGGGAAATAGGGGCCTTGGGAGGAGGCTGCTAAGGTTTACAAGCTCTCTGGGAATCTCTTGTTAATCAGGCTCCCTTGCTTTGTTGACTGCTTGAGTCCAGCTATTTCGAAGAAGGTCAGGTGATGCAGATCTCTGAATATAAAATGGTGACATATAACTTCCACTGTTTTGTTTTTATAAATTTATTTATTTTATTATAAATTTATTTTATTATTATTTTGGGGGGCTGATTTGGGTCTTCGTTGCTGCGCATGGGCTTTTCTCTGTTTGTGGTGAGCGGGGGCTACTCTTCATTGTGGTGCACGGGCTTCTCATTGTGGTGGCTTCTCTTGTTGTGGAGCATGGGCTCTAGGCATGCGGGCTTCAGTAGTTGCGGCACACGGGCTCAGTAGTTGCGGCTCGCAGGCTCTAGAGCGCAGGCTCAGTATTTGTGGTGCATGGGCTTAGTTGCTCCGTGGTATGTGGGATCTTCCCTGACCAGGGATCGAACCCGTGTCCCCTGCATTAGCAGGCGGATTCTTAACCACTGTGCCACCAGGGAAGCCCTCCACCTACTGTTTTTAATTTCAAAGAATATTCTCAGCTGTATCATACTCCATGCCGTATATTTATTTTTGCTCTTCTTCTTTGCTCCTTTGACCCTTCTTAAAATATCTGTATATTCGATCAAATAGAAACTTTTACTGAGCTCTTTTGTGAAATATGAAATTAACGTATAGAGGATGAAATTATAGAGGGCCTCGATGGCCAGCCCATTCTGTGGACACCCAGGAGCAAGCGAGGAGGCAAATTAGGGCTGTAAGCAGAGGGCAGATTACCTCAACTCTGTAGTTCGGTGGTTGGGTCAGTATCAGCTATTTAGATGTAAAGGTATAATGCAAAAGAAAAAGCTCAAATAGGTTTGTCAGAGACCAAGAAATTTCTGGAGATGCAAGCAGACCAGAGCAGCCATGCACTGCGTTTCACTGACTTGGAGCAGTGGAAATATTTAGTTGATGTGGATGTAGGCTCCAGCTTTTATTTCAGCCGCTGAACACACAGATGTCTCCTTGCCTTCCAGCGTTCACATTTATATACCACACTTAACCACTACGCCCCCGCCCCACATTCCTTAGGCCATGACTCACCTTGCTCCCCTAGGCATCTTGGCATCATGCATCAGTCCCAGATTCGGGTGGAGATGTAGTCATTTAAATCATCTCTGAGGACAGTCTTTGATAGCCAGAGAACTTCCCTGTCAATTCCTGACACCCAGAAATTAACTTCTGGTTAAAAATGTCTCTTAAAGAAAATACCTGACCATTGCTCTCCTCAGGCTGGGAGCCAAGCCCTGCACACTTTACAGTGCCTGGAGTTAGACCTGTGAAAACCACCTAGGTTGGCGGCAGCGCAGGGTAGGGTTGCGCATAGCCAGTTGATGTGCTTAGTGACTCCCGTGGAGTTTGGCCACATGCCAAAGCTTCCAAATTTACTTGATTGTTCAGGAAAAGAGGAATGGGATAAGACTGTTCTTTTTTCATTACAGTAAGGAATACGCTAAAGTACTTTTCCCAGCACTGTCATATTGAGGCTGTAACCCCAGAGTGTTTATATCACTGCCTGTTATGAAATTTCTATATAAAACACTACAACAGGAACCCAAGTACCTCTCAGTGTCAGTGCTTCAGCTTGGCTTCCCTCCCTGCCACAGAATGCCTTGTATCTGGGCCTTGCCCCCATCTCTGTGTTTAGATAGTGCTTGCCCCCATCTCTGTCTTACTCAGACCCTCTGACACCACCTACTTTCCTCAGCATTTGTACAGTCCCTCATCTGGCATTGACCATACACTACCTAGCACTGTTGATATTTCATGAAGATGTTTCTCAGACTGTGAATTAATGTGAGCATTGGGCAAATGGCCCGTAAACTACGTGAATCCTGCCTAATTTTAAGGTAGGATTTGAGATTTAAATTTAGGAACTCTGTGAATCCTAAAGATGGTAAAATTAAAGTCTAGAGAAGAATAAACTGAGGCCTGCCTTGCAGTGCTCTCCTGGCCAGGTCTCTCATCAGATGAAGGTGGAACAATACAATGTGCCTGGCTTGGTATTAGAAACAATGTTCCAAAATAAGTAGACGAAGGTATATTTCTTTGTGTTGAGCATGCTGTTGCTAGTCTAATTCAGGGGTTGGCAGATTTTTTTAGTCACAGGTCAGATAATATTTAGGCTTTGTAAGCCAGGTGCAATATCAGTCACATATTCTTCTTTTTCAAATAGCCCTTTAAAAATGTGAAAATAATCCCTTGACTGTGGTTGAAAATGGGGGGGGAACCCTCTTATTTTTTTATATGATTTTTAAATTTTTATTTATTTATTTTATTTACTTATTTTTGGCTGCATTGGGTCTTCATTGCTGTGTGTGGGCTTTCTCTAGTTGCGGCGAGTGGGGTCTACTCTTCTTTGCAGTGCACGGGCTTCTCATCGCAGTGGCTTCTCTTGTTGTGGAGCACGGGCTCTAGGCATGCAGGCTTCAGTAGTTGTGGCGCGCAGGCTTCAGTAGTTGTGGCTCGTGGGCTCTAGAGCGCAGGCTCAGTAGTTGTGGCGCATGGGCTTAGTTGCTCTGCGGCATGTGGGATCTTCCCAGACCAGGGCTTGAACCCGTGTCCCCTGCATTGGCAGGCGGATTCTTAACCACTGCACCACCAGGGAAGCCGGAAACCGTCTTATTTTAAGAATAAAGTACAGTCATACCTTATTTTATTGTGCTTCACTTTATCACACTTCACAGATAGTACGTTCTTTGTAAACTGAAGATTTGTGGCAACCCTGCACCAAGCAAGTCTATGGGTGCCATTTTTCCAATAGCATTTGCTCACTTCATGTCTCTGTATCACATTTTGGTAATTCTCAAAATATTTCAGACTTTTTCATTATTACTGTTGTATCTGTTATGGTTATCTGTGATCAGTGATCTTTGATATTACTGTTGCAAAA